AAAGTAAATACAAAATAGCCCAAAAGTTAAAGTTTTGGTGTGACAGATAAGGAACAAGAACCAGTGACACAAGCTGAAGAAGCTCCACCATACAACCAACTGCCAGCGGAGGAAACACGCTATGCTCTGTTGGAAAGGATGTATAAATATAATTGCCTGGCAAAAGATTCACAATAGTACAGCCAGGATGAAAACAATCCCCCCTACTGGCTGGACAATACCCTTACCCACAGATAGGTCCAAAAGTCAAATGGACTGTTCCATCTCAACCCCCAAAATGTATGGTTCATCCCACACCTGTAACCCTCCCCATAAACATCAGATGTCTGTGACCCCATTGGCCCAAGTCCTGTTCCAGCCCACCTTGAAGCCCCCTGATAAGGGGTCACTGAGGGGACAGACACCCTCTTGGATCTTCCCCTCTCTTGGAACTTCCCCTCTCTTGGAATCCCCGCTCTCTTGGAACTTCCACCCTCTCCTAGAGCATCCTCTCTACCCCTTGTCTCTCCCCTCCCCCATCCCCTCAGGCCTTGCCACATGCTGCATCTGGCAGCTCCAAGCAAGACCTTTCACCATCCCTAATAAAATATATATTCTAAGAGCAGCCTTCAGAGATCTCTCGTCTCCATTCATCAAAGCCATCCTGGAGCTCAGCCTTCCCTACAATGCTCTTTTCGCTGACAGTACTTATTGCATTGTAGAGATGAATCAGAAGTAGAAAGCAGCTGTATGGAGCCCCACATGACAGTTCGCAGAAGCCACTGAAAGAAAAGGTAGATAAAGCCAGTTTGCTGAACTCAAAGCCGTTCAACTGGCCATAGACATTACAAAAACGGCGAAGTAGCCAAAGCTCTACCTCTACACTGATTCATATATGGTAGCCAATGCTCTGTGAAGATGGCTAGAGAGATAGAAAGAAGCTAACTAACAGCGTAAAAGAAAACCAATTTAGGCTGCTGAAAAGTAGAAAAACATTGCTACCCAGGCAGAAAAATTACCTGTGGAAGTTCGCCATGTAGATACCCATGTCCCCAAAAGTAAAGCTAATGAAGAACAGCAAAACAATCAGCAGGAAAATCAAGCTGCAAAGATAGGGGTGTCAAAGATAGACCTCGATTGAGTACACAAAGAGGGAGTTGTTCCTAACACAATGGGCTCATGATGCCTCAAGCCATCAGGGTAGAGATGCCACCTATAAGTGGGCACAAGACTGAGGAGTAGATTTAACCATAAACAATAATTCTCAAGTAATCCCATGACTGTGAGACATATGCTGCCATCAAACAAGCTAAGCAAGTGAAACCCCTATAGTATAGTGGGCAGTGGTCCAAGTACAAGTATGGGGAGGCCTGGCAGATTGACTACATCACACTGCCCCAGACACACCAAAGCAAGCGTTACGTGCTCACAATAGTAAAAACCACCACGGGATGGTTGGAAACCTACCCTGTGTCTCGTGCTACAGCCCGTAACACCATCCTGGGCCTTGAAAAGCAGGTCTTTTGGAAGCATAGTACCCCTAAGAGGATGGAGTCAGACAATAGGAGTCATTTCAAGAACAGCCTTATCAACACCTGGGCTAGGGAACATAACATTGAGTAAGTGTACCATATCCCCTATCATGCACCAACTGCAGGAAAAGTAGAGAAGTACAGTAGACTGTTAAAAACCAGCTTGAAAGCATTGGGTAGGTGATCTTTCTAAAACTGAGAGCAACATTTAGCAAAAACCATCAAGTTAGTTAACACCCGAAGTTCCACCAATCGAGCAGGTCCTGTAGAGTCTGAGTGCCTGAATATAGTAGACAAAAATAAAGTCCCAGTGGCACATGTCAGAAGTTTGTTAGAGAAGACACTGTAGATCAATTCTGCCTCGAGTACAGGCAAACCCATTTTGTGGGATTCTCTTTACTCAGGGACGAGGTTATGCATAGTAGATAATGCCAAGAGTTAGTACAACATGATGTGTACTTCAGCAATATCTGATTGTAGAGTGAGACTCATATGCAAATATCACTGTTTACTGGATATTACTACCATTGTCTGTACATTAAACCACACAGACATGAGACAGAAGGAAATGTGTGTCAAAAGTTTAAGCAAGTGAAATAGAAGGAAATGTGTCTGAATAAGTGAAAGATAGAAGTTTTTACTTGATGAAGTTTTTACATGATGTTCAGTAGTATGTTGACAATATGGAGATAAAGAGTTGAATGTCCTAAGGTGACATTATGGTGCTTATATCCCCAATTGTGTGTTGTGTTTATACTTAATATTATGTTCGGTGCCTCCAGGACTGACTCTAAAAAGTGAAAGTTTGTTTTGTCTTATTACCACCCAGCTCACCTCCCCCCATAGTCTGTCTAAGAGAAGCTAAAATTTGATGACTTGCTTACTTACTTATTTGCTTGCTTACTTTCACTTTGCTCTTACTCCTGCTTTTTTGCTTTTGCCCTTACTTTTGCTTTTACTTATTAGTTAGTTTAGCTAAGCAGTCCAATTTTTTCCCTAGACTGTTTTTTCTTTCCCTTTCCTGAAAACCATCCAAAGCTGCTCCAAACTGGGACCTGGGAAACACCAAGAAACACCGAGAGCCTACATTTTGTGACCTGCAACAGCCATCCCCATCGCCAGAGACCGATAACTAAGTGACCACTCCTAGGAGAGACTTTCTGGATTTGTCATCTCTTCAGAGCACGAAAAGAGTTTTGTCATCTAGTGTTGTTTTTTTTTGTATTAGAGAGTGTTTTACTTGTTAAAAAAACAGGTTTTTTCCACTTCTCTGCAAAGAAATTCTTCCCAAACTGTTATGTGTAGTAGATATAATTCGCGCCATTTCTAATATGATATATGTGATATTGAAGATTTGTTAGAGTATACATGTTTGTATTAGGATTCCCCCCCCACCCTCACAGGCACAAGTAAGACCGGGTGTAGATTGGAAACTGATTTACAAGTAAGACAGTACGGCTCGCCAGGAGATGAGCCATGTCTGGGGAGATACAGAAACCCCAGGTACTAATCGTTCGCGTGAACGACCCGAGATGGATATCTTGGAAATCCTCAGGCAGATACATGTGAATACAGCGTTCCCGAATTCCCGTAAATTTCATCAAGGGATTCAACAAACTCCAGACACTGATTTGTTCTCCCTCATCACCAAAAAAGAAAATCTTATTAACATATGGACTCTGAATAGAAGAAAAGACTGATTGCTGAAATCTTGGCCTCAGGCGGAATTTTCCCTATAAAAACCGCTTGTACCAGAATGGAGGTGTGTGGGCATGGAGGAAAACCTCTGATGAGGCTGACTCCTTGTTGCACACCCAGGGCCGACCCCGGGCTTGGCTCTGTTCTTTCCTTGTGGCTGGCTAGATAGAATTTGATTTCAAAATAAATATTTTATTTTTCATATTAATTTGGCTGGACAAATTTTCATTTATAACACAAACCAAGTGGGAGATGGTCCATAGGAGTTCACTTTCTAAGAACTCCTTCCAGAAGTTTTATCCCAAATTTGCCCTAAACCAAGACAGTGGGTGAGGCAGAAAGGGTTTTTTTCCGTCCCTGCAGAGGCACTCTCCAGGGAGACGTGGTCTCTCATGGGAGGCCGTCTCATGGACCCCCTGTTTGATGATTGCTCTGTAGACGTGAGACCACTGTTGATGCAGTGAAAAATGTTGGACGCGGTTTGGCAGTGGTCTGGATTTTGTAGCTCTCGGAGTTCTCTGGGGGACCCGTCCGTCTCGGATGTGGACTGTTATGGGTAATAAGCATAATTTGCGCCATTCCTTGTATGGAATATATAATGTAAATACTTGTTAGATTATACCTCGTTTGTACTAGCCTCCCCCCCCTTCTCCCCTCCGAGACCGGGTGTATGTTGGAAACTAATTTACAAGTAAGAATGTACGGCTCGCCAGGAGATGGGCCATGTCTGGAAAACTGCGGGAGACCCCAGGCGCTGATCATCGGGTGAACGACCCGAGATGGATATCTTGGAGATCCCCGGACAGATACATGTGAATGCAGCGTTCCCATAAATTTCATCACGGGATTCAACAACTCCGGACACTGAATTATTAACATATGGACTCTGAATAGAAGAAAGGACTGATTGCAAAAATCTTGGCCTCAGGCGGAATTTTCCCTATAAAACTCACTTGTGCCAGGCTGGAGGTGTGTGGGCATGGAGGAAAACCTCTGATGAGGCTGACTCCTTGTTGCACACCCAGGGCCGACCCCGGGCTCAGCTCTGTCCTTTCCTTGTGGCTGTCTAGATAAAATTTGATTGCAAAAAAAATAATTTATTTTTCATATTAATTTGGCTGGACAAATTTTCATTTATAACATGGACGAAGGGGAATTTGTGTTCCTCCAGGATGCAGGCGCTTCCCCTTCTCCCCAAGACGGTGAGCCGGAAGACGGCTCCTCCTCTGGGGTGGATTGGCCTCCCAGCCAGCTGGCCCCGAGCGATCTGTCGGTGGACGGAGCCCCGCAGGCTTCTGGGGGCCCGGTGGAGCTGGCTCGGCCTCCCCGGCCACCCCACCCCATCCCATGCCGCGGAGGTAGCAGGCTGGGGGAAAACCCACCCTCTCTTTGTGCTTTCCCGGCACGAGGGGGCGAGGGAGGGGGCCTTGGATCAGCCCCCGCCTTTGATTGCGTCTGATTCGGTAACGACACTTTGTCCAAATTGCGGCGTTTCTACGACATACCCCCGGGGGACGGCGGGAGCGGCTTCGGCCGCTCCGAACTCGGGCTTGCCTTCCGGGGGAGCGGCGTCTCCCATTTCTGAGCCTGCGCAGCCCGCTGGGTAGGCGCAGGCAGTGGAAGCCGCCAAAGGCGGGGCGTTGATCGGTGTTCCGTCAGGCCCCGCCCTGGCAGGCGGGCAGCCCGTCCCGCCCCGCTCGGCGGGGGCGGTGCCTGCTGTGCGACTCCGCGTCACGGGTCCGACGCTCCTTGGGGGCATGCCAGACTCCCTTGTGTTGCCCCGCGGTGACGTGGCTCCATGCGCCGCGTCTCTCTCTGCGCCCTACCCCTCCCCCGCGCCGGGAGAGGGGGGCGCTGCGCCGGCTTTGCGGTCCGCGCCGCCGCCTGTGGCCGCCCCGGTGCCCTCTGCCAGTGCTGCGGTGGACGGCACTGCCGAGCTACCGGCTGGTTCGGCCGCGCCTTCCCCGCCTTCCGCGGGTGTCGAGGCTGCGGCGCGGCGGGGCGTTGGGGTGTTTACCTTTAGCGCGACTGCTGACGCGGCCAGCGGGAGACCGGTAGGTTCCTGTGGCCGCGGATCCTCCCCGTCGGTTTTGTGGACCCTCCCCGCCTGTCATGTGACAGTGCGTCCGAGGGACCATGGGCGGTTTTGGCAGGAGATGTGCGACTCAACCTCCTCGCAGCGTCTCCAGGATCGCGGAGGAGGCTCCTCTGGTTCTGCTAATGCTGCGGGGGGCGTGGTGTCAAGTGATGTTGCGCCGCCTCGCAGTCAAGCGGCTGCCACTCTCCCTGTGGAGCCCACGGGACGGGACGGGGGACACGGCAGGTGATGCAACCTTACCAGGGGGTCCCCAGGCTTTCCCTGTGCTCAGGGGTGTTACTCACAACACCCACCAGCCTTTATCGTTTTAGATAGAGAAGAAAGTCCTTGATACAGTTGCTCAGCATGGTGTCGGGTCTGCTGAAGTTATGCAGATGCTCCAAATGCTTGCTGCTGAGCTGCTGACACCTTACAGCATTCGTTCTGTGGCACGTGATCTTTTTGACCCTGTGGAATTTGATGTTTTTGAGACCAAGTGGGCTTGCTTGGCAGCCAGCGCAGTGCAAAAGAATGCTACGCAGAGGCCGCAGGATCCCAGGAGTGCAGTTAGCACTGACATGTTGAGGGGCACAGGCAATTATGTTGATCCTCAGGGTCAAGCTGGATACGATCCCCTCGTGCTTGACCAGTGCCAGGCGCTAGGCTTGGCAGCAATGGTTCAGACCCTGGAAATGGCTGCTCTGCTGCAGCCATTTGCGACCATTGTCCAGGGGGGTTGATGAGCCTTTCATGAAATTTGCAGGGAGGCTGACTGCCTCTGTGGAGAGGCAGTTGGCAGATCCTGAGGCAAGGAGACTTGTGCTTGTGAACCTTGCAAGGAGCAACTGCAACACAGACTGGAAGAGAGTCATAGAGGCTTTTCCTGGTGAGCCTACTGTCTCGCAGATGGTAGAGGCCTGTGCAAACCTAGGCCCCTCAGTTCAGAAGATGGCTGCCTGGGCTACTGCTGCACAGCCGGTCTGGGCGGTGCCGCAGGGCTGGCATCAACAGCAGGGGAATGCTCAGGCCAACAACAAACAGGGGAAGAAAGCACAGAAGGGAAAACTTCCCATGTTCTTGTGTGGCTGGTGTGGAAGGCCAAACCATATGACAAATTTCTGCAAGGCAACTGTTCATGTTAATAGCCAAGCACTGCCAGGCCCAGGAAAAGGGAAGCGGAGCGTGAAGGGGAGGCGTACCCAGACACAAGTTCCTCTCCAGACCCCGGAGCCCATGGAGGTTTGCTCAGCCAGCTTGCAGCCAGCACCCATGGCTCAGCAGGTGTGGATGTCTGCACGGCAGCAACAGTTGTTTTATAATCATGTCAAATACACAAGGTTCCCCTGGATGCCTTTGGTCCCTTGGGTGAGGGTGCCTTCCTTATGGGGAGGTCTAGTGCCACCCTTCAGGGCATCATTGTGCACCTGGGGTTCATTGATGCAGACTTAACAGGGCAGATTTGTGCGATGGTCTCCACACCCACCCCCCCGTCATCATCCCGAAGGGGATGTGACTTGCTCAATTTGTGCCTTTTAAGTCTTCTGTTCACAGGATGGCTGACCAGTCGCGTGGGGCTGGCGGCTTTCGATCCAGTGGGCCGCCTCAAGTTCACTGGACCACTGTCCTGACCAAAGACCTTCCCGAGATGCTGTGTACCCTGTCCATCCCTGGTGCAACACCGTCGGAGATCTGCTTCTGTGGGCTTCTCGACAGCGGTGCTGACATCACGGTTCTCTCCCTTGCTCCTGTGAGAGACAGTACGAAGTTTTCTGCATTTGCCTCACGACTGTCGCAAGGACCCTGAAGACCCCTGACAGGAGCTCTGGCCTGGCCGAGGTGGATGCTGACGTTTGCCGAGTGACTGTTAGCAGGTGCACTCGCTGTGCTTCTACAGAACATTGCATTCGAACAGGTTGTGACAAGCGGTAGCTTGTACCTGTACCTGTATGCCCGCACCTGTTTCACAGATCAACGGGCTCTACACAATGGTCCATCAGGCTTGCCCACCTTCTGACCATATGCCACTCGCTTTGGCTAAAGACTTGTCGTGGTTTGACACGCAAAAAGAATTTTTCCGGAAGGAAGAGGTCAATTTGGCTATTGACCACTTGAAGGTGGACACACCTCTGAGAACACAGAGGGGTTAAAAGCAGAATTCCCAGGAGAAGTCGCTCTCTTTGGTTCCGGTCAGGGTGCAGGGCAGGCTCTCCCCTGCCTGGCCCATGGCTGAGTGGGGATGGGGAAGGCCCGTGGCCTGACTGAGATAGGCCGAAGGGTGGAGGGGACTGGAACCGGGCTGGCCCCCTGCAGATGGAAGGGTGGAGAAATCTGGGACGTCTCTGTTCCCACCGAGTCGAGAGAGAGAGAGAAAGGGACAGCGGCGGTTTCATCAGCAGTACGCCGCGGGGAAGGAGAAGAGCGGGGGGCCGCAAGGTGCCCAGCCACCTGTGGGAGCTGGAGCCTAGGCAGTGAGCCATCCTGGGGAGTCAGGACTTTTTACCCTTCCTTGAGAAATGAAAGCTTTGTGAAATTTTTCTCCTCCTTGGTTTGAAAAAGAGAGGAAAAGAGACAGCCTGGGACCTGGGATGTTGGAAGGAGAAATTCTAGGTGGGAGGAGATGATGGAGTGGCTTTTTGGCTGGACTTTTTCTTGGTAGCCACAGACTGAACTGATCTTCTCCTCCAAGAGAGACTGTATTTTAGGAGGATGGCAGTGAGCCAAAGAGACCATGCTTCAGCAGCTGGGAAGGGGCAGAAGTGGAGCAAACAGAGAAAAGTTGGGAAGGTTGGCGGTGGTGCCCCCTGTCTTCAGAGAAGAAGAAGATAAGAAGATCTCTGTTCTTGGACCCTTGGCCCCAGGGGGAAATGGGGGGGACTGTGGTCCCGAAAATGAAAAACTGAACTGTTGTTTTTTCCCTCTTCGCAGGGCATCCTTGAAAGGAAAAATCCTAAAAGCAGTCTGTCCATCCATGCATTGGTGGTGAGAGCACTGTGCATGGAAAGGAGAGGGTCACCATGGCAAACTTTTTTCTCTGGGCAGTGCCATGAGTGACATGGAAACACAGGATGTGGCAGCTGTGTTTCTTGGGGGGTCTGTGGCACGGGACGGACTCGTCTCTCCCTCGATGGACTGAGTATCAATTGTCTGGAGGGTGGAAACCTGATTGGGGTCCAGGTTGTGTCTCACTGTGGTTTGTTGGATTTGGGTGGTGGGAGGAGGAATGCTTTGGAAGGTTTTCATTTTGAATTTTGTGTGGGTTTTTTTTTCCTTTTTTTTTTTCTTTTATAGTAGTATAGTAGTAGTAGCTTAATAAAGTTTTTCCCCTTGTTATTAAGTTTGGGCCTGCTTTTCTCTGTTCTCGATTGCGTTTCACTGCATTCAATTGAGAGGTTGCATTTTCATGGGGGCGCTGGCATTGTGCCAGTGTCAAACCATGACAAGACTATATAAACTGTAACCTTTTGGGAAGGCTTTGGTGCACCCCCACAGATGATGGCAAATCTATGTGGCTGGACCACTGAGGATCTCATCTCAGATGGTGGTAGCTATATTCCCCTTTCCCTCTTTTCTCTCTATTCTTTATTTCCTTTTTTTGTCCCCTCTATTGCATTTGCTGTTGGTACCTAAATAAAGGTGCATTTGTTGTGATTACACTGATGGTCCCCTGCTGTTTGCCTTTTTGCAGTTTTGGGATTGGCTAACGAACCATCACAACTCCCCGCACAAGTGGATTTTGACAGCCGCCTGGCCTCCGGACTGGTCCCTGAATCCAGTGGAGACGCCTGTCGCGGGACTGGGGGGAACGGCGTGATGTTACGTGAGCCAGCGGTCCATGCAGGTCACGAATCCAGAGGGACAGACGGCCTGGATTAGGCCTCATGTTAGTTCTACTCCTGCTAACCTCTGGGGGTGGGATGTTCTGTGCGCGGGCGGGGGGGGGGGGGGCGCATCGGGATGGGTTTTTGATGGGGGCCACTGCGACGAAGGGTGCAGAGTGTCCTACGCTTCCTATGCAGTGGCTGGTGGACAAACCTCTTTGGGAGAACCAGTGGGCCCTCCCTCAAGATAAATTGATTGCCCTTCGAAATCTAGTGCAGGAGCAGTTGGACCAGGGTGATCTGGAGCCTTCTACCAGTCACTGGAACACTCCTGTCTTCTGCATCAAGAAGAAATCTGGGAAATGGAGGTTGTTACAAGACCTCCGAAAGGTCAGTGACGTGATGGAAAGCATGGGAACACTGCAGGCAGGCATTCCATCGCCTAACATATTTCCTGCAGATTGGCCAATCTTCATTGTGTATTTGAAGGAATATTTCTTTACAATTCCTTTGCATCCCAATGACAGACCAAAATTTGGCTTCTCGGTGCCAGCAATTGACAATGCTCAGACCACACAGCGATATCAATGGAAAGTTTTGCCCCAGGGGGTGCGCAATTCCCCTGCCATATGCCAATGGTATGTGGCCCGTGCTTTATTTGGAGTTCACAAGCAGTTTCGTGATGCACGTCAATATCATTATATGGAAGACATTTTGGTGGCTGCATCCACCCAGGGTGAGATGCTGAGGACTCAGCCTCGGTTGCTCAATGGTTTGCATGCACATGGGCTGCAGGTGGCTCCAGAAAAGGTTCAACAGCAACCTCCTTGGAAGTATGTGGGGGTCAAAATTCTGGAACGGACAATCCAACACCAGGAGGTGCAATTTGCACACTCGGTGAAGACACTGAATGATGCCCAGAAGTTGATGGGTGTCATCACTTGGTTACATCCATACTTGGGACTAACCGATGCACAACTGTCTCCTGTGTATGATTCGTTGAAAGGAGACTCTGATCTAAAGTCACCTTGCACATTGACCCCTGAGGCACGTCAGGTGCTAGAGGAGGTTCAGCAGGCTGTTTCTGCCTGCCAAGTTTATTGCATTGATCTTTCCGTTGATGTCACTGTGTTCGTTACCACTCCAGATTCGCATCCCACAGGTATCATTGGTCAATGGAGTGACAAATGGTCCGATCCCTTGCACATCTTAGAATGGGTTTTCCTGCCCCATCAGCCGCAGAAGACGGCAACGACATTGGCTGAATTGATTGCTCGGTTGATAATCAAATGTCGGCAATGGTGTTTGCAATTGATGGGTGCGGATACCACAAAGATCATACTCCCGATATCCCGGGAGGACTATGACTGCAGCTTTGCACACTGTGTGTCCCTGCAAAGTGCTCTGGAAAATTTTTAAGGGCAGATCACTTATCATTTGCCCAGCCACAAGCTACTGCAGGTGGCAAAATCCACACAAATGTCTTTGCAGCCCAAAAATAGCCAGGAACCCGTGCAAGAACCCACAGTCTTCACTGACGGTTCGGGGGAAACAGGAAAGACCATTGTTACTTGGAGGGATGGATCTAAGTGGCAGGTTCTGGAAGGTAATCAGGATGGGTCAGCCCAATTGGTTGAATTGAGGGCTGCTGTCATGGCATTTGAGAGATTTTCCCAGGAACCTTTCAATTTGGTCACAGAATCTGCCTATGTGGCTGATATCACACAGCGATTGGGTCATTCAGATTTGAAGGCGGTCAGTAATCCTGCCTTGTTTCGTTTACTGAAGACCTTGTGGTGTCCCATTCAGGCCCGGGTTCATCTGTTTTACATTCTGCATGTGAGGAGTCACACCAATTTGACCGGCCTTATAGTGGAAAGTGACACAAGGGCTGACAAGTTGGCCAACCCAGCATGGGTAGCACCTCAGCCTGACACACTCGCGCAGGCCAAGGCATCGCATGGGTTTTTCCATCAAAACGCACATACCTTGCAGAAGCAGTTTCAGTTGACGCCAACTGAGGCTCGTGACATTGTTGAGTCATGTGATGACTGTCATGAGCTTGCTGCGCCTTTTCCGGCAGGGGTAAACCCCAGAGGCCTCAAGGCCTTGGAGCTTTGTCCAACTGATGTCACCCAGATTGCCAAGTTTGGCCAGCTCAAGTATGTGCATGTCACTGTGGACATGTTCTCCTCTGCGATGTGGGCTTCTGCTCACACTGGAGAAAAGGCGCGTTATGTCCTTGCCCACTGGAGGCAGGCCTTTGCTGTTCTGGGCATACCTTCTGCTGTGAACACCAACAATGGTCCTGCTTATGCATCACAAAAGGTGCGGCAGTTCCTGCAGTAGTGGGGTGTGTCACACAAGTTTGGTATCCCTCATTCTCTGACTGGTCATGCTATTGTAGAACATGCTCATGGTACTCTGAAGCGGGTTCTTCAAAAACAAAAACGGGGAATGCAGGGTGAAACCCCGTACAGTCGGTTGGAAAAAGCATTGTACACCATCAATCATCTTACGGTGACACAGAACTCAAATAACCCTGTCATTTTGAATCATCATCTCTCATTGCAGGCTGCGGATGAGACACATCAGCCTCGAGCAAAGGTTTGAGTTCAGAATTTAGTCACCAAACAGCGGGAAGGTCCCTATGACCTTATCGCTTCGGGGCATGCGTATGCTTGTATGTCCACAGATACTGGGGCACGCTGGGTACCTTCGAAGTGTGTTTACCCTGACCTGCAACCGCAGACATAGAATCCAGCCGACGGGCAACATGGAAACTGTGACCAACCTGAAAGGCATCAAGTGGGTGAATTGTTCAGTGATGACTTGGATGCAGACGATGCGAGTGATCACTCCAATGATTCCTCCATTAATGGATGCTGAACCTTGTTCATTTTTTCTTTTCCTTTTTCTTTTTTTTTTTTTTTTTACTGAGAAGGGTGAGATGTCTCCCTGATTTTTTAAGATTTTCTAAAGTCTTCTGTGTTTACATTCTTGTAGCACACTTTCTCACACAACTTTCTTTAAATAACCTATTGTTTTGCATTCCTTCATAGACGAGGCGAAATTTGATGGACTGGTAGTTTGTCCACTGTCGTTGGAGAGGTGGCACTGTCACCCTCAAAACCACTGTCACCTTTGGAAAACTATAAATGCTGGAGTCTGAAAAATAAACTAGTCTCTTTACCGTGACAATAGCAGTGACGGCGTCGTGATTTCTCATGTCCTATAGTGACACCCTCCAAAATCTGAGGATGAGTTTTATACATCAGGAGGCACAGATACCTGGCAGAGGATAGGAAGGGATGCAGTCCAGGATGGACAATTGGAAATTGCCTCTAAGCGATCAGTGTTTCCAGTCCGATAAAATGTCGGGGGTGTGGGAGGACCACAGTGGGAACAAATAAGCTTTGCAGAAATAAAAGAAATATGCAAAGCAGCTAAGTCTTATGGAAGAGAATCAGCATATTTCCGAAGTCTATTACAAGCCACCTCTTCAGCCAATGTATTTACCCCTCATGACCTAAGGCAGCTTTGTATGTCTTTGCTGTCTCTGACAGAGTATTCTTTGTGGGAACTGGAATGTAAATGTTTATTAAATGATTTTTTAAGAGGTTATGCAATAACTCCAGCCACTGCAAATATAACTCTAGACCAGCTTGCAGGGGAAGGAGCCCACATAGACCCACAAAGACAAGCAAGGGCTTTTAATAGACCAATCCTTCAAGATATTAAGGAAGCAGCAAGGACTGCCCTGCTCAAGGTGCCTGATGGGAATAAACCAGAATTAGACTTCACAGAAATTAAACAAGGGGTGGATGAGCCATACATAAAGGTTTTGGACCATTTAAAATTGGCATTTGTCCTGGTTCAGGGCAAATTTGGGGAAAGAACCCCAAAAGGTTTCCTTTAGGAAAGCAGACTCAATTGGCCGCTCCCCCCAACCAGTTCGGGAAAGATACCTCTTTGGAGAAAAGTGGAAAAAACCTGTTTATTAAACAAGCAAACTTAAACAATATTAAACAATGAAACTTCTTTCCACTCCAAGAGAGAGACAAACTCAGAAAAAGTCCCCCCGGGCTGCAGCTCAGCTCACTCAGTCTCTGATCAGTCCCTCCAGTGCTGGAAATGCTGCGGCCCAGGCCTGGCCTGCTGGGCCACAGGTGTGAGCTGCTGCTGCTCTTCTGGTGCTCAGTCCAGAGCAGGTCAAGAGAAAGGAAAAAAAAACACAGTCCAGGGAACTTCTTTGCCTCAGATAGCTAAAACTAACTAGGAAAAGCAAAGGAGAACTCTCTCTCGCTGTCTGTCCGTCCACAGACAACACAGTCCAGGAGGAGGAATGTGGAGGAGGGAGTGCAGTTCTTGAAAACAATCTCCGTGCTTCTTCCCCCCCCCCCCCCCTTCACTCCTGGAACAAGTCTTGAAGGTGTAGAACTTGTTATTCAACATAAACAGGGCAGACGATTGGGGATAAAGGCATCATACAGTCAACCTAGGACAGCATTGGATAAGCAAATTCCCATAGATCGTGCCAGAGAAGAGTAGAAGAGTTATTGAAACGGCTTGCAATTTCTAATGTGAATCCAATCTGCAAAAACATATTACGTGCATTGCTACAAGACCCTCAGCCCACCTTTACACAGCTAGTGGACACTTGCAGCTGCCTGGGTACATCTGCACATGCAGAAGGAATGCAGGCAGAGGTGCTAGCTAATGCCATCACAACTGCACAGGAAAACACCCTAAAGCAGCAGGAGAAAGCGGTAGAAATTGAAGCACAAACCCTAGCAGAGGCTCTAACAGCATTTAAAGGGTGTAATGGTTTGACACTGGCACAATGCCAGCACCCCCATGAAAATGCAACCTCTCAATTGAATACTGTGAAATGCGATTGAGAACAGAGCAAAGCAGGCCCAAGCTTAATAATAAAAGTGAAAAAAACCCTTTATTAAGCTACTACTACTATACTACTATAAAAGAAAAAAAGAAAGAAAAGCACACAACAAAACCCAAAATGAAAACCTTCCAAAACATTCCTCCTTCCCCCCCCAACTTCCAACAAACCACAGTGAGACACAACCTGGACCCAAATCAGGTTCCCACCCTCCAGATAATCAATACTAAGTCCATCAGGGGAGAGAGGAGTCTCCCTTGCACCATAGACCCCCAAGAAAGAGCTGCCACATTCTGTGTTTCCATGTCACTCATGGCACTGCCCAGAGAAAAAAGTTTGCCATGATAACACTCTCCTTTCCAATGCACGGTGCTCTCACCACCAATGCATGGATGGACAGACTGCTTTTAGGATCATTCCTTTCAAGGATGCCCTGCCAAGAGGGAAAAAACAACAGTTCAGTTTTTTATTTTTGGGACCACAGTCCCCCCCATTTTCTTCCTCCCCTGGGGCCAAGGGTCTCAGGAACAGAGATCTTCTTATCTTCTTCGTCTCTGAAGACAGGGGGCACCACCACCAACCTCCCCAACTTTTCTCTGTTCACTCCACTTCCGCCCCTTCCCAGCCACTGAAGCATGGTCTCTTTGGCTCACTGCCATCCTCCTAAAATACAGTCTCTCTTGGAGGAGAAAATCAGTTCAGTCTATGGCTAACAAGAAAAAGTCCAGCCAAAAGCCACTCCATCATCTCCTCCCACCCAGAATTTCTCCTTCTAACATCTCAGGTCCCAGGCTGTCTCTCTTCTCCTTCAAACCGAGGAAGAGTCAAATTTCACAAAGCTTTCATTTCTCAAGGAAAGGTTTGTAGTAGTAGGGACAGGCGAACGGAAGATCACGGGATGTGACGGAAAGACAGACCCTTCCCCCTCTCCCTG